CTTTATCTGACGGGGTCAGGTTTTCATAAAGCATTCTGCTTTTGGGTCTTCTTGATCTGGATTTGGGAAATCTTTGTACAAGAAGGTTACAGCTACCAGGTGAGCTCCACCGAGTTCACACTGGTAGCGGAGCCCGGAGCTTCGCTTGGTGGCGAAAAAGCTGGTGACCTGGTGATACAAAGCTTCGGAGATGCCCCCGACGCCGGCAGCCTCTTCGGCTGCTCCAGAGCAAGCCCCCATGGCTCCTGAGGGGCAAAGCTTTCAGCTTACTTGGCAGGCGATCCCGAAGTTTATTCCAGGGACAACAGATGTTACTGAGTACTCGAAGAAGCTCGAGTTCCTGGCGGCTATGTGGCCGAAAGACAGCCTCTCCTTGCTAGCCCCGAGGGCAGCCCTTCTTTGCGAAGGAAGTGCCTTCAAGAAGGTTGCAGGCCTTTCGCCTGACAAGTTGAAGGCCAACGACGTGAGTGGCGTGAAGCTCCTGGTAGATACACTGGGAGGATCATGGGGCCGTACGGCCATCGAGCAGAAGTACGACACCTTTGAGAAAGCCATCTTCGGAACAGTTCAGAAATCAGATGAGACCAATGACAGCTATATACTTGGCTCGGCACGACATCCATTTTGAGGAGCTCCTGGCCCAGGGTGTTAGCTTCGAAGAAGTAAGGGCCTATATCCTTCTCCGACCATCCTCCTTGACTGCCGAAGACCGCAAACGAATTGTGGTGGAGTTGGATGGCCAGCTAAACTACAAGAAAGTCTGTGCATCTGTGAGACTGTTGGGGTCCCGGTTCTTTGCCGATTTTCAAGGACAGAGGGGGGCCTTGAAGACCAAAACCTATGATGCCCATATGGTTGAAGATGTACCAGCAGAAGAACCGGAGCGCGCCTATCAGGCAAGCGCGCCTCCTGTCGCCGAGGAGCCCGAGGATTTGGACTCCGAGTTCGTCGAGGCCATGGTAGCTGCAGAGGATCAGGATGCATTACAGGTGCAGGCCTTTGAGGAGGAGCTAGAGGGCTTCTTCCAGGAGACCCCGGAGCTTCAAGAAGCTCTGGTGTCATATCTTGAAGCCCGCTCAAGGCTTCTGGCCAAACGAAAATCCCGTGGATTTTGGCCGGTTCAAGCATCCAAAGGTGCTAAGGGTGGCAAGAGCTTTAAGGGGAAAGGCAAGGGCAAATCAGCAAAGGAGCAGCTGCTCCAGAGGATCGCGAGAAGTCACTGCAGGGCTTGCGGGGAACGTGGACATTGGAAAGCTGAGTGTCCTAAGTTCGGCAAGCCTGGCTCAAAGTCTGAGGCCGCGACGACAGTGGCGCAGGCCTCCACCGATGCCTTTGGAGGTCCCCTTGGCGACGAGATCCTGACCGAGCTCCCCGAGGAAGCCATCACCCTAGCCGAGGCCTTCTGCACAGTCGAGAGTAGAGATTTCTTAAGCCCCAACATAGTTCACACTAAGCTAAAGCAGATGATTAGGAACCTCAAGAGCCGCTGCCCCCCAGTCAAACATGTCATCAGGCAGCGCATCGCTGGGGCAACGCCTTGGACTGAAGCCCTGAATCAAAGCTTTAGGCCTGTAAATGAAGAGCCCATCTGCTCACCTGAGTCTGCCATGTCGGCAACCACACGAGTTGAAGCCATCCTGGACACCGGAGCGAGCCGGTGTGTTATAGGTAGCGCGCTGCTGCCTCAGTTCCTGAGTCAGCTGGACAGCGGGGTCCGATCTCAAGTTAGAACCCTAAAGAGCTCAGTAAAGTTTCGGTTCGGGAACAACCAAACTTTGACTAGCGATAAGCGGGTTCTTCTTCCGATTTGGACCGTAGGCTGCCAGGTTTTGTGGCTTGGGATAGAGGTCGTTCATGGGCACACACCCTTCCTTTTCAGCAAGAAGGCCATCAAGCAGCTGGGAGGCATCATAGACACCACTAGGGATGTGTGCCTATTCAAGCGACTGCAAAGGCAAGTGCCTTTACAGACCGGAGCCACAGGTCTGTACCTGCTCGACCTCGCCCGTCTCTGTGAGGAAAGCTGCTCAGGGATGCCAGTGCAATGTGTGAGTGAAGATCCCCCTGAGCCAACCTCACTTGAGCCAGAGTCCTCTGCGAGCCAATGCATGAACGTGTCCCCGCCCCTAGAGCAGACCTCCCCAAACTGTACAGTTGAGCTAGAGCCTAAAGGGTCGTGCAAGGGGTCGAATTCACAAGTGATTAGGTTCCGTAAATACCCGGAACAGGTTAACGATGTCCTATCAAGAAGTGTTTGTCTTGATAGCCTGGGAAAAACCAAGCCACCAGTCGAGCTGATCGTGCAATCTACCAATCTGACAGCTCCAGCCGTGACTGCTTCAGCAACAATCCCGAAGCCCTCACTCTCTCCAAGTCCCGTGCGTGATCATGTCCGAGACTCCCGCGTGCGCTTCCCCAGTGAGTCTCGCCAACCGCTTCGCTCGCCTCTCAGATGCCACACTGAACTTCACGATGGCGGAAGTCGAGGCCATGACCCTGCAGGAGCACGGTCAAATGATCGTGACCTTCGGCACGAAGGTTCGCGGCCGCCGTTTCGAGGAGGTTCTCGAAACCGACCCAGCCTGGGTGAAATGGTGCCTCGAGCACCTTGCCGACAGCACCAAGCACTCGCACAAGGTGTTTTTGCGCTACGTGGAGCGCGTGGTGGAGCAAGCAGAATCCATAGAAACCGAGCTGATTGTGCCGCCCTACGGGCACAGTCCGAGGAACGATCGCGGCTCTCATGCCAAGGCTGCATCCAAGAGCCGGGCTGCTCCTCGTCCGAAAGCAGCACCCGCTGCCGAGGACGATCGCTGGGACATGATCAGCGAGTCCAGCGCCGTGCTTCAGACCGAAGTGAATGTGCTCACGGAGCGCATGGCTCACATGGAGAACATGATGCAACAGCTTGTGCAGCATCTGAGCGGCGCGAATGCCCCCCAGAGTCAATCCTCAGGGAAGTAGATGCATGCAGGGCCGAGTTGAGTGCGTTGATTTCCTCCGATTCAAGCCCCGTCAATCTGAGCAGTTTGTCCTGGATAGAGGTAGCCGCCCAGAAGCTTCTTAAAGACAAGGCCAATGTAACGGAGGGTAAGCAGCTACTGCGTAAGGTTCCTTGGCATCTTCTTAAGTCAGCCTGTCCCAAAGCTAGAACAATTGCCGAGCCTTCGCAGGAAGATCGCACTCGACCGAGTGCCTATGTCATGTTCGGCATGTACGCACATGGGGGTGTAGTCGGCATTACTGCAGTTTCCAAGCAATTTCCGCAGTTGACTCGTCTTCTTACAAAGATTGTGTCCCAAACCGAGCCTGAGCATCCCTTCACGTCAATAGGAATCTCCTGTAACACCTCAGTGGAGCCTCATCGTGACAGCTTTAACTCCCGGGTCATTCCAAATCTAGTGGTTCCCATAGACTTTCCAAAATCTGGAGGGGAAATATGGGTAGCAAAGCCGCCCGCTGCTAATCAAAGGGAGATATCCATGAGCTGTAATGGTCAGGAAGTTGAGGGATCCCTTCAGAACCTCAAAGGCTCGAGGCTGATCGATCCCCACATGTGGCATGCTACAGCTCCATGGACTGGAGATCGCACAATACTGATTGCTTTCTCCCTGCAAGCAGCTGGCAAGCTAGTGGTTTCTGATCAAAAGACGTTAGGAGACATGGGTTTCCCGATAGCCAAGGTAGTCAGAGCCCAAGTAGAAGCGTGTCACTCGAGCATGGAAGAGGTCCCCGGTAGTCCTGAGCCGTCCCTCCTTCGACAGGAACTACCTTCAGCACAGCCCAGCCTTCAGGAGTCCGATTTACTTCCAGCCTCGCTGGAAATGCGTGTGTTGATGCGTTCTGCAGGGCCCAAGATGTGACGTGGGATGTTTTTCAGGATTCCTTGTTGACTTATCAGCAGCCTCTAGAAGCTCAGCTAGATCTTCTTGAAGTAAGCTTCAACAAGGATGGACGGCTAACTAAAGTAGTTCAGGAAGCCGGAGGCAGAGCCCAAAGGTTTTCGTGTGCAGATAATGACCTCACTTCGCCTGAGGGTCAAAGGGTCCTGTGGGACCTACTGCAGCGAGCTCGACCGAAGCACCTCTGGCTGTCGCCAGACGCCAGACTGTGGAGTGCATGGGCGCATCTGAATGCCTCTCGCAGCCCTGAGTACCGGAACAAGCTTCTGATGGAGAGACAACAGCAGCGCACAGTGTTTCAGCTTATGGTTAAAATCTTTGAGTGGCAGAAGCAACAGGGGTATGAATTTCATATGGAGCTGCCCGCCAACTCCCAGATGATGAAAGAGCCCGCCCTTCAGCCACTCTTCGCTAGGACGTACAAAATCAATGTAGACCTGTGTGCCTTCGGTTTGAAAACTCCTTTGAGCCAAAAGCCTATTCGCAAAACCACCCAGATCCTAAGCACCAGCGCAAGCTTGATAAAATCCCTAGTCCAGAAACAGTGTCCCGGTCATGCCAGTCATCAACCGGTGGCCGGCAAGTTGCGTGAGCTTGGAGGGGTGAGTGTTTCCCAGTACGCTGGAACGTTCTGCCGTGGTTTTGCTGACCACTGTGCTGAGCATCTGCTGCAATCCATATCTCCCGACCAAGCCCTAGCCCTAGAAAATTTATTGCCCATGACCCGTAAGAGGTTTAAGAGTTCTAGTGGGTTAGGAAAGCCTGTACACTCCCTACCTAGCCAAAAGCGTGCAGCAGATGATGCGCAGGAGAGTCCCCAGCGCGACCAAGTGCGTCGTCGACTGGATGTCTTGCAGCCGCAGTCTGTGCATGATACCGCTGAATTGCCCGTGCCCACGTGGGAGCCCATCTTTCAGATGGCCCAGAGCTGTGCACAGAAGGTCACACCAGTCTTAGTTCCGCCTCAGCATGATATTATCTCTGCATTAAGTCAGGCCCTACCACAGTATCAGATACTACAGGTGTTTGCTAGTGCAGGAGGTAAGAGCCTACATCACCCGCTTGGAGCTTTGCCTTCCACTGTGGCCCCGTGGAGAATCAGTCTCTGCTCTCGCAAAAGTAGCCAAGGAGATATGACGTATCATTGTCTGGGCACGGACAATCGCACCACGATGCCGAGTGACCGTCGCCGACAACGGATTGCCCAGACCAGCTTCATGCTTACTGTGTTCGCTCAAAATCTGCCTGCGGGAGCATCGCATGAACCAGAATCCAATGGAGCTTCACGGCAGTCCGATCAGTCGATGACTCCCGACCTGGAGGGTTGGGGACCACCACCGGTGCCTTTACATGGTCCTGCTTTCCGAAGTCTCTCCAAAGAGGATAAAGCTCGTCTTCGTCGAATCCATAATAACTTGGGACACCCTGCTCCCGAGGGCCGCTGGCGAAAACTCCTCTTTGGTAGATGCTGCAATGGACTTTCAATGTGATGTCTGTTTGGAGTCCACTGAGCCTCGCCATCAGAGACCGAGCAAGCTTCCTGAGCCTAGGGACTTTAATGACTTAATTGGGGTAGACGGTTTCTTTTTCAAGAGTAAGTCCGGGTATAGAACCTATGCCATACATGCTCTTGATGAAGCTAGCTGTTTCCAGCAAGCGCGCCGAGCCCCGAGTCGCCTGGGACAACATGCAACACAGGTTCTGAATGATTTCTGGGTTAGTTGGGCTGGGCCTCCTCAGCAGGTGTATCTTGATCCCGCCGGCGAATTCAGATCAGAACAAACGCTTGAATACTTCCAACAGATGAATACTCGTGTTTGGGTAACCGCTGCCGCTTGGCAGAGAGGCAGACTAGAGAGACATGGGGACATTTTAAAGGATACGCTTGCGCGCATGGATATCGAGAGTCCCATTGTCAATGATGCTGCCTTTGATCAAGCCCTTCAGCAAGCGGTCTTAGCAAAGAACTCCTTAGTTCGACACGGTGGGTTTTCACCTGAGCAAATAGTCTTCGGGAAATCACTTCGGGTGCCAGGGAGTATTACTTCTGACGAAGAAACTTCAGCACACATCTTGTCTGAAGGTGCCGATCTTGAGTCTGAGTTGTATCGTCAGAAGTTAGAGCTTCGCTGTCGGGCCCGACGGGCTTTCATGGATGCGGATAACTCCCAAGCAATTCGTCGTGCCTCGCTCCGGAGAAGCAACCCCTCTCGGGGACCGTACAATGCTGGCATGTGGGTCCTGTACTGGATTAAGAAATCGTCGCCAAACCGGTTAGCTGCAGGTCGCTGGCATGGGCCAGCTAAGGTTATCTGTAGCGAGGGTAAGTCGGTGATTTGGTTAGCTCACGGGACCAACATCATCCGATCGGCGCCTGAGAATTTGAGGCCTGCTTCTTTGCGTGAGTGGCAGCACTTGTCAAGGGCACAGCTGGAAGAGCCATGGAAAAATGTAGGCGGGGCTAGTTCTTTCTTAGACTTAACAGGCGTGTCCAACCCCGAGCCAGCACCAATGACCAACCTGCCAGCAGTGCCAGAGACATCTGTCCTCGTGCCTCAGCCCGGTGCGCCAGGTGCTCCAGCTGCAAGTCCAAATAATCTTCCCGATGAAGTACCCCAACCCGAACAGGAGTTGACCCCGCAGGTGAGTCAGGAAGCATCTGGAGTTGAGCGCGATCCACTTCTCGGAACCGCTGCCCCTTCAGACACTATCCCAACAGTAAGTCTACCCGCCGACGATCCTAATCCTCAAACTACACCTATACCCGATTCGGATGAAGGGCTAGTCAGCGATCACGTGTTTGTCTCTCAACAAGAAACCGGAATCTTGGATGAGCACGGCCACGAGCTTCTGAACTTCACCACGGTAGAGACTTCAGAAGATGCTGTAGGGCCCCCGTTAGCAGAGGATAACCTTCCCTACATCCTTGAGCCCCTATGTCCTTCGGAACATCAAGCATACTGCTTAGAAGTTCCCCTTAAAGCAAAAGACATGCGTCGCTGGGTGAAGGAGGAGGAGTCAGAACAATTTGCAACGGTTGCCGCTGCCAGCAAACGAGCTCGTGCCGAGGTTTGCGTGAAGGATCTTACAGCAAGTGAAAGAGAGCTATTTGAGAAGGCCAAAGAGAAAGAAATTTCTTGTTGGTTGCAGACTTCCGCAATTCGGGCCATCCTTCGCAGAAAGTTGAATCCTGAACAAATCCTGAAGAGTCGATGGATTCTAACGTGGAAGGCTCCCGAAGAAGGAGAACACCAGCAGAGGGCAAAGGCGAGACTAGTTGTGTTGGGTTTTCAGGATCCCAAACTGGTAGAAGTAATGCGAGACGCCCCAACTCTTTCTCGAGAAGGAAGAGCCCTGGTCCTTCAAACCATAGCCTCCAAAAAGTTCAGACTTGGATCCTTCGACATCAAGACAGCGTTTCTTCGAGGAAAGGCAGATGCCAATAATCCGCTGGCAATGGAGCCCCCTAAAGAGTTGCGCAAAGCCCTAAATTTAAAGGATGATGAAGTCTGCGAGCTTTTGGGCAATGCCTATGGCCGAGTCGATGCACCATTGTTGTTCTACAAAGAGCTAAGCCAACAACTTCTGAGCCTAGGTTTTATTCGCCACCCTCTCGAGCCCTGTGTCTTTCTTCTTTATACACAGGAACATCTTCATGGTATCCTTGGAATGCATGTCGATGATGGGGTATGTGGGGGTGATAAGGTCTTTGCCCAGAAAGTAGAAGCGCTTCAGAAAACACTACCGTTTGGCAGCCGGAAGCATGACAGATTCACTTTTACTGGAATTTATCTTGAACAGTTGTCCGACTACACCATCCGAGCCAATCAGGGGGACTATGTTCGAAACATACCTCAGATTGATATCGGTCGCTATCGTCGTCAAACTCCGGATGCCGAAATCAGTGAAGCTGAGCGCTCCAAGCTCAGAGGACTGGTTGGTAGCTTGCAGTATGCAGTAACGCATACCCGCCCCGACATGGCTGCCAAACTAGGGGAGATACAAAGCTCCATACCAGGCGCCACCGTCCAAACCCTCTTGTCGGCAAACAAAGTGCTTAGAGAAGCTCAGGAGCAACATCAGGTTCACATAGCCTACCTTCCCATCGCGGTTGATAGGTTAACATTTGTGTCCTTTGGAGATGCCTCCTTCGCTTCGTCCAAGAGCCTGAGCTCTCATCAGGGCGCCTTGCTCTGCGCGACAGATGAGCGTTTGCTTGCTAATCAAGAAGCACCCCTGTCCCCCCTAAGTTGGTCCTCTAAGAAAATCCCTCGGGTTGTTAGGTCAACTCTGTCAGCAGAAGCTTATGCCATGTCAAAGGCCGTGGACATGCTTGGATGGATGCGAGCCCTTTGGGGTGTAGTTCACATCTCAGGTTTTACGTGGCAGCAGCCCGAGCTAGGGTATCGCCAGCTTAATCGGGCCGCAATCATCACAGACTGCAAATCACTATACGACCTGGTTACACGGCTAGCAATGCCGGCTTGCGAAGAATTCAGGACTACGCTTGAAGTACTTCTCATCAAGCAAAGGTGCTCGGAAAACACCACCTTCAGGTGGGTGCCGACAACGCTGCAAGCAGCAGATTGTCTGACCAAGCCTATGGACGCTTCAGTTCTCCGGACAATACTGGAGCAGAGTAGATTTAAGCTATATGACGCCACGCAGGCCTTGGAGAAGACTGCACAACGTAAACAAGCCATCGAGTGGCTTGCTCAGGAGCCTTCGGACAAACTCACGTGACAGTCAAGCTGGAGAGCTGCTCTTGCTCGAGTCTGGTGGTTTAGGACTCTCTTCATAACATAGTGCAGCTAGCACGAACTTTGCTTCAAAGAATTTGGGTCCGTGTGAAA